ACGTGCAGGTACGTGCTGCTATTATCCCCATCTCAGAGGTGGGGACGCTGGCGCACAGCCAGGTCAAGTAACTCACCCAGAGCCATTCAGCCCCTGGTGAATCTGGCCCAGTAATGATCGTGCTACACGGCCTGTCATTTGTCAAATGTGTTTGAGCGTTGCTATGTGTGCCATAACAACACAGGGCGTGCTTGGACTGAATGCCAGAGTTTTTGTATCTTCCTGTTTCTGTAGTTGTGTGCCGCAGTGGCTTAGGGTGGTGTTGGCTTCATAAAGACTCTTTCTTGATGGTCTGATCTTATCCTGCCTCATTTGCCAGGCCAACAAATGCCCATTATGGAAGCACTTGTGAAGAGCTGGGGGGAGGGGATACAAACATAATACCCAATTTTCTTCCTGCCTTCAAAGAGCCAAATAATTTAGTTGGTCAGATAAAGCAATTAGACGTACGAGGCAACCAGCACTGCAAGAAAGAATATTCTAAAAGTCACACGAAGATACAGACAAAAATGCTACTGAGGTTCTTAATTGTCTCCTGGCCCTTAGGGGTCTCATGTTTTCTTCCAGTGGTAAGGGGCCGTAGTCTTCCCATCGGCCCCCCAAAAACACTTGTGGCAAAGGGTGAACGGCTGGTTCAGCTATATCCCAATCATACTGTTCTGTTCCTATTTCAGATGGTTGTGCATACACATCTGATACTCAGCAATTGGTCAATACAAGGGTGAATGAATGAACGGATGCTGAGCTCACAAACATTGCATTGGTTTTCTCTGATAAATGCCAGGAGTACAAAATAGACTGTAACATTTAATTTCTTAAGCTCAGAAGAGCACGCCACTCAGAGATACAGTTAAACTACATTTTATTTTCCAAATAGAGCTTGTTTTAGTTAGCATGTTTTTAAAATATAACTCTGAAGTATGCCCCTTTCTAAAGACTCCTCAGGACAATTTTATTATCTTTGCCTCTGAGGAAGCTGGGTAGGATTTTTGAAATTTCATTTCTTTACCGTTTATCAAAGTCCTGCTGTGGGCAAAATGCTGGAAACCCTGGATTAGGTGTTGAAAGGGGTGCAGAGATGACTAAGCCACTCCTGGCCTTCAGATGCTTCTAGTCTGCAGGAATTTTCCATAACATCACAGGCTTGGCACTGACATCCTCCGAGTTTTGAGAAAAGCCTATTCCTGACGGCATTTTCCAGCCTCTGAGGATGCAAAGGAAATAAAATGCTTTCGACCATATTCACAGTTGAGTACATTTTGGAATCCATGTTTTAATTGGTCTGACCCCTCTTAAAACTATCATTTTCTTCAAGAACCAAAAAGCCTAGAATCTCAGAGATTCCAAGTGACTCACAGGATGGCACAACTTTAGATCAATTTTCACAAGCGCTGCATTAGAAAACTACACTGTGGCTCAGGTTTTAAGGGACATCGGTCTTTGCACCTCCCAGGACAACAATGAAACTGAGCTGTCCAACTCTCCTGTGCTCACTGGAATTCCAGGCACCCTCCTGAGAAAATCAAGCAAGGTGATCACTCCAGCTCTGTGCCCAGCACAGGACAGCCCAGGAAATTCGTTCATGATTCAGACTTCCTAAGGAAGAGCAAAGGACTGGTTCTGCCCCGCAGACAGAGTTGATTATAGCAGCCCACAGTTAGAATCAATAGTGTTTGTGGGAAAAGACTGTTTGGTAAACATGTGAGAGGCCTCAAGAGTGAGTGACTGAACAATTCACAGGTGGTCCAAGGGTGCCTGCGATGCGCTGTGTGGCTGGGAACCTAGCTCCTTTGTGTTTCTTCTTCTGCATCAATAGGACAAAAGTCATTTATGAACAGCTTTGAATATTCTAACGCCCTTGTCGATACTACGGGAATCCTTCCAGCTGCCCCCGCCAAGGACTCTCCCATTATCACCAAGACCTGGATACACACACACCTGCTTGAGGCGTGGGCCCTTACCAGCGGCCCGGGGCATTCCCTGTGCTTGTTTCAGGGGTCCAGATTCTGAGCCAGATTTAATAACTGCTTTAGTGCCTCCCTAGCAAGGCATTCTTCCCGATTTTATTACTCTAAGCATAGATCCACCAATAATCACTCTAAGACAAATTTATATTATCTTTCTTTTCTCCTTCATTATTCTTCTCCAGAAGCAGATACACTAAAAGCAAAAGTAAAAGGTAATGCAGAAAGTGAACCCTATCCCTAGGAAAAATCCAGACCTTCTCTACAAGCAGAAGTTGACGAGGACATTCCTAGGAGTAGTTACTCTGGCAGGATGTTATGTTGAGGGTCGAGCATTTAAATCTATGACACTCCATGTGGAAAATAAATGGGCAAAACAAATTTCAAACTGCTGACATCATTCTGGCTATATTTACACCACACCAATAATACTAGTTGGAAAAACAAAAATTGAAACAATTTGACTATCAAGACGACACCAAATGATGACTGGCCTGTTGGTTTTATTCTTTTTTTAAAAACATATAACAAAATCAAATAATTAAGTAAATACATTACCTAATTGTTCTGCTCGTATGTGATGCATGACCTTAACATTTTTCAATTACTGTTAACCAAATTGCTTATACAAAACGCAAACTCCCTAACACCCTCTTACGTTGTTTGTTTGTTTCAAATTATTCCCTGATGGACTAAAAGACATTGAAAAATGAAACACAGCCTCGTATGTGTTCTTGGTGACCAGGCTTTTGTCCCGCTTAAGTAGCCAAGTATGCTGTTTACCTCATTTCGAACTGCCCAACATTTGTGAAGAAATCAAGTTCTTGGTTTAATATGAAAACTTTATAAAATGGTAGTCTGCTACCAAGCCCAGCAACCGGGACCAGCGAGTGATCAGGAGCAAGTCAGGCCCAGGAAGAGGGGGCGGCGCCAAGCTGACTCCAGATAATGCTTCTCTCAGGAGCATCATGGCACTGATCTTCTCTTTTTGCCCACACAGGTATTCTTTCATCTTCAAGATTTGCAAACAGTGGTACATTAATCCTCACAACATCCTCGTGAGCTAGGCAGCTGGTACATGTTTTGATCCCCCGTGTTAATGACGGAAAGATGATAATGACGGTGATAAAAACGAAAACACATCAAACGGTATCAGCACCATCACATCAAGACATTCATGGCTTTCTCAGGGAAAAAAAATGGGAAAGTGGAAACTGTCAGATGTATTCCCATCTATTTTACTAATACACCGTTGCTAAGCTCCAACTAGTTTTGAAAGTCTAATACATAAAGAGTTGAATTATTGCATTGTTCAAAGGGGCAGAAAACTCTCTTGGGAAGTCAAGCATTTAAGTGTTTGTTTTTTTTAATGAAAAACACTAGCAGAGTTGAGTCAAGAAATGTTCTCTAGACTCCATGGGTCTCGTGTCTGCTCTTTATCCTAGTGTGAGGAGGAGGTGACATTTAGCTTAGGAGACTGGGTAACCCTCCTTCTGGGAGGGGGAAGGGCCCAAGCAGGACCTTTGCAGAGCCAGGACCTCCCGGTAAATCAGATAGCTGCTGGGGCTGCTTCCTTCCAGGCCCTGGTGAATTTAGGACCTGAGTGGAAGCGGTTCCCGCCTTTGGGTCTTAAAAGCCAAAGTAAAATTGAACAACCTCTCCCCTCCCCCACAAGACTGGAGAACACAAATAAAATCAGCGTGATCGTGGTTACTAGATTTGCTCTGGGAGAGAAGAGGGCTCAGACAGAGAAGGGGCCTAAGTGCGCGATGCTAGAGACTGACAGGGAGAGTGTCTCTGAGATTTCTCCCATGTTTCAACAAGTCATTTTGCCTCCTGGAAGGCGGAGGAAAAAGTGAAAGGGCTCCTGCAGCCTTTGCCATGCCCTTCACAGGCTGCGGCCTGCGACGAGGCTCCTCGTGCCCCCGGAAGAGCCCAGGCACTAACCCCTGGTAGGGATTTGTGGTGAAGGCATGCGCTGCACCCATGAGGAGCCCCGCGCTGTAGCATCCTCATCCCGAGCAATTTTCCATAACTCCCCCCTTCCCTGTCCTGTGCGCGCGCTAGCGCACACTCCCAACAGTATGCGAGCCACGTCGCTCAGATCCCCCCGGAGACCGCCAGCCTCGCAGCCCCTCGCCCCTCTCCTAACACCTTTCACAAGTGGTGACCCCAGGCCATCCAGGGAAGAGGAAGGGTCCGGAGCTGCCTGGGGCAGAGGAGGGGAGGGCGAAGGGCGCACTCCCTTTCCTTGCCGGCGGCGTGCAGTGCCAAGGGTTTGGAGCCCCTCGACCAGGAGGAAGCTGCCCAGGAGTGGGTGAAGGAGGAGGAGGAGGAGGAGGAGGGGGAAGGGGCGCCCTGAGCCAAGGGAGGCGAGAGGGGGCCCTTGAGGGAGGCGAGGAGGAACGAGGAGGGGAAGAGACGCGGAGAGGAGCGGGAGGCGAGCGAGGGAGCGGAGGGGAGCGGAGGGCAGAGGAGGAAGGAGCGGGCAGGGGAGTGGGGGCGGGGCCGGAGGGGCGGCGCTGCCCGACGCGCGCTTTCAAGTCTCCGCGCCCCCACCCCCCAGTGGCGGCGGCCCGGGGGCG